AATTTCTGCAATTATTTGTAATTTCTCTAAAATTCTCCAAATTATATCGTACAATTTACGAACTTTTCGTTCTTTTTCAATCAAATCACTAAAATTTAGTAGAATTTATACCCTTTCGTAGAATTTAAAAAAAAAATTTTGAAATAAATGAATTCTTTTCATGAAAGAAATGAAATCTATTCTTAAAATGGTAGATATTGATATAATTGATTTTATAGAATCGTTCTAGTAAAATTCTATAAAATATTCACTAAAATTTATATACAGAATGATTCTAGTGAAATTCGGTAGAACTTTTCCAGTTGAGCTGTTATTATTAATTCCGCTTCCTGAACAATTGATTCAATAAAAATTCACTAATTTTCTATTCGACACCACCAAAAATCTTGAAAAGTTAAGTCTGCATAAAATTTTGTTCACACCTCCCAAAAATGTCTGATTGTCAAAGGACACGAATTTCATAGAGTACATATATATATACGTATATTCGATGTGTCACGTCGCGTCTCGTCGCCAGTTATAAAGAGGGAAAGGCGCTTAAAATTCTTGATGCGCTTTGAAGAAGGAAGTTTTCTACCTCGAGTCTCAAAGAGTGCCATGAGGGTTGTAATTGGCAATATCTATCGAATTTTACAATAAATCTCGAAGAAAGCCCCAAGGAAACAGAGAGTAGACAGGGCAATATATAACGCAACGCGCAAGGGCCGGCACACTATGCACTTTACGACTTATCTTATCTTTTGAATTAGACTGCGAGGTTGTAGCTTCTCTTCTCATGTTGAGAGGCTCGTTCGACTTGACTGCATCCGAGAACCGAGACCCAACTAACATTTTCCGCAAAGAAAATATTTTTACCACTTAGCTTTGTAATTAAACTCTCCTCTTTTCCAAACGTAGAAAAGAGCCGCGCGGATGCACAAAAGCTTTTTACAGCAAAATTATGAGAGATTCAAAGGTATGTAAATAAGATAACTTGACAGTGGAGGATCGAAAATTATTTATAAAATGTAATTACGTTCAATTAGCATACTTAGGGTATTTTCATAAATATCGGCTTTTGCGGATTCACGCGACTATTGATACTATTTGACACTTCTTTTACTTTGTACATAACTATTCAGCAACAATTTTTAAAAATAAGATACGAAAACAAAAGTTCAGAAAGATTGAATTTCTTCAATTTATTTCCAAAAAAATATATATTTAATGTAGTTAAATTTTTTATGTATATTTAATTAATTAATAAAAATATAGGATTTATACAAAGAATTCTAATTAAAAACACTTACAAAAAAATTGAATTTTGTAAAAGTTACAATTTACAAATAATTGCAGAAATTCAATTATTTTCAAAAGTAATAAAATTCTTTCCCAAAATTCAATCATATTCAAAAATTTTCTTAAATTCTCGTCAAAATTTCAATTAACTTTATAAATAATAAAATTCTTCTTCAAAATTTAATTATATACAAAAATATTAATAAAATTCTTGGAAAATTTCAATTATTTTCAAAAATTTTTCTAAAATCAATGTTTTTCAATATCTACTATTTTAATAAAGTTTTAAAAAGAATTCAATTATTTAAAAACAATTTTCATAAAATTCTACGCAAACATTTAATTATTTTCATAAATAATAAAAATTTCACAGGAATTGAATTATTTACAAAATTTTTTATAAATATCTTCGCATTAATTCAATTATTTCTATTTTCATACATAATCAAATTTTTTACAGTGAGTAAATTATTTTTTAATACAATTTTACTCTCAATTCTCGAAAAATGAAATTATTTAAATAAAAATTTTATTAAAATTCGTCAAAAATATACAATTATTCTAAAAATTTGTTGATACAATTCTTTATTAGGATTCAAATTTAAGAAACATTCAATTATTCAATAAATTATTTATTTCTGTATTTAAATAATTGAATTCCGTTAGAATTCTCTAATAAAAATTGATTTAAAAATTAATTACAGCTCAAATTTTGAATAATAATTAAATATATTAAACGCATTTAAATTGAAATGATGAATCAAATTTTCAGGAAGTTACAGTAATCTTATTCTTATATATTTCAATTATGTTGATAAATAATAAAATTTTTTTTTAAAATTCAATTATTTTTCAAAAATTTTTTATAAAATTCTTGGAAAAATTTCAATTATTTTCAAATTTTTCCTCAATTTAATGATTTTTAATATCTACTAAATTAATAAAATTTATCAAAAGAATTCAATTATTTACAATTTTTTTTATAAATTTCTTGGAAATAATTCAATTATTTTCATAAATAATAAAATTTTTACAGGGATTCAATTATTTTAAAAAATAATAAAATTATTTTTAGAAATTCAATTATTATTTTCACAAATAATAAAACTCATCGTAGAATTTCAATTATTTAATTTTAATCGAATTCCTCTAAAATTGTAATAATTCCTAAACATTTTATTCAAATTCGTCGAAAAAATGCAATTATTTAAATTTATATGTAAATATTATTCATATTTTTGTACAAATAATTGAATTAAAATTTTCTAATAAAAATTGCTTTTAAAAATGAATTTTAGTTAAAAATTTAGATAACAGGTATTTGAATTGAAATGATGAGAATAATTTTGAAGAAGTTACAGTAACAATATTTTATTAAAATTTTTGACACTAATACGCTGCAAGAATTCTATTATTTTTAAAAATAATAAAATTCTTCTCAAAAATTCAATTATTTTTAAAAATTTAAGTAAAATTCGCTGCAAGAATTCAATTATTTTCACAAACAAATAAAATTTTCCGCATGAATTCAATTATTTAAAAAAATTTTAATAAAATGTTTCGCAAGAATTCAATTATTTTCACAAATAACAAAATTTTTCAAAGGAATTTTCATAAAATTCCCTGCAAGAATTCAATTATTTTTAAAAATAATAAAATTGTTCTCAAAAATTCAATTATTTTTTAAAATTTTAATAAAATTCGCTGCAAGAATTCAAATTACTATCTCTTAAATAATAAAATTCTTTGCAGGATTTTAATAACTTTAAATACAATTCTAATTGTATTTTTCGAAAAATTCAATTATTTAAAAAATTTTTTTAATTCTTCAAAAATATTCAATTATTTTCAAAAATTAAAAAAAAATTATTGATAAAAATGCAATTTAAAGAAATATACAATTAATCAATAAATTAATAATTTTTGTATTTAAATAATTGATTAGGTACTAGTAGAATTTTCTAATCATTGAATTTCAATAGGTTTCAATTTGAAATTTTAGAAAATTTTTATTCAATTACTATTGTTTTTTGAATTATTAATTTATACTAAAAAGTGTAATTGAATTTTCCTTGAAATCATTTAATGTTTTTATTTTCTAATTGTATATTTAATTCAAGAATTTACGAATAATCAAAATTTTTTGAAATTGAATTGAAAACAAAGGAATTTGGAATTTTTCAAAAATTATTAGTAATAATTGATTGAAAAAAGAATTTTAGTTTAGAATTCTAAAAAATATTCATTTAAATTGAGATGATGAATATAAGTTTGAAGAAGTTACAGTAACAATATTTTATTGAAATTTTTGACAATAATTGAATTTCAGAGAAGAATAAAATTCTACTATTTTTTAAAGTTGATTCAATTTTATAGAAGAATTTAACATTTTTTGAAAATAATTGAATTCCTGCGAGGAATTTGATTATTTTCAAGGATAATTGAATTCTTGCTAAGAACGTTATTATAATTTTTGAAAATAATTGAATTTCAATAGGTTTCAATTTGGAGTTTTAGAAAATTTTTATTCAATTATTAAAAATAATTGATTTAGAGAAGAACTTTAGTTTAAAATTGCAGAAAATAATTGAATTTTAAAAAAGTTGCAAATACTTTCAATTTTTAGAAATAACTTTGTTTTGGAAATGTTAATTAAAATCTTTGAATTTTTAATTATAAAATTTGAAGAAATCGATCACTTTGAGTCAAAGACTCGGAGTTATCGATATCGTCATGTTTTATAATAATAATAATTTATTATACAAAATCGAAAAAGAGGAAAATATTTTCCCTTTTATTTTTAGATGATTCCACAGAATTTCTAAATACTCGAGATTGATTACATCATATTCTCATATAAAATTGTCTGAAATTATCGTTTTTTTTTTGGTGAGACTGTTTTTCTGGGAAATAAAAAGAAAAGAAAATATAATAGCCGTCCCGTAAGGGATGCGTCTGCGACCGAGAGGGCGAAGAAGAAGTATTCTCATTATATGCGTGATTTATGCGCGTGCCACCTTGCCGTTGGGAGATTTTAGGTTAAAGGCAAAGTTAAAAGAAAAATAAAGCTTATGGGGTGTAAAGTCGCGGAGAAGTAGATGGGGGGAGTGACATTAGGCAGCAGAGTCACGTCTTACGCACTTTTTGCCAAGAAACTTATTCACAATTGGCATAAAACATTCAAAGGGCTTCGTAAGTATATATAGTTTTTTTTTTTTTTTTTTTTTTCTTTCGCTCAAGACTATAAAAATTACGTATATCACAAACGTATATTTACCGAATTAACGCGTATTATGCAGTTCCTTTATCCGGAAGCGCGCCTCTTCAAACGTTCAAATGTAAAACAAAGCAAGTGCAGAAAATCGAGAAGAACGGACATGAAAATGCATTTAGCTTTCTGTTTACACACATTTATATATATATATATGTGTGTATGTGTAGGAGAATATATGCATTGTCAGAGTTCTTGAAATCGTTGGAAATGTAGGAAAAGAATTCTGTCCCATTTGAAAGAAAATATTGTATGGATGATTCTTCTGAAAGTATGACATTTTTTATGTCTTTATTCTATAAACTCTACTCTCCATTCTCTAATAATTATTAACAATTTTTGTAGTAATTTAAAATTTTTAAAAACGAGTATATTCTTGAATTTCTTGTTGTAACAAGTGATTTTAATAAAAAACATAAAAAAAATTGTGAATTTAATTTTCAATTTTCAGGGACACATCGGCGAGAACCCGTTCGATAACGGATCTTGGGGGAAGGACTTTCCAGCAGTGCCCTGGCAGCTGACTCCTCGCGGCCTCGGCCGACCAAGTGTAAGTTTTTCTCAAATTTCATACATTTTGCAATTTCCATTATAGACGCTGATCAATTTTAAATTCAGTCGCGTTTCAAGATATGTAGAAAGTAAATAAAGTAAATGTTGTGTTTTCTACACTAAAAGGATATCACATTGCATCGACAACATTTTCAGTCAACAGCAATGGAACTTATTGATTATAAACAAATACCACACTCACTGATATACTATAAAGAAAATGTCAAAATTTGTATTTAATGGAAAGAACAATAATTTATTCAAATCCTTATTATTCTCAAATTTTTATAAAATTAAAAAAAAAAATTTTTTTAAATGTAAAGCTATACATATTTTGAATAAAATTTTTACAGTACTTTCTTGTAAGAAATAAAGATTTCACATTAAATTTTATTATTACTGAAAAAATGAGAATGTAATAATTTAAAAATTATTAAAGATTACGATTATGCGACTATATCCAAAATTTAGTGTAAAATTCGGTAAAATATAAGGAATAAATATTCCCCGTGTGTAAAACACATTGTATAGCTTAATTACTGTGTATTCATATACACAGCGTTTTGATGTGTTTGATAAGTATATTAAACAATACGTAAATTGTCATTCGAATTTTCATGTCACGTAGTGATATTGGTTCGAGGTTAACAGCATGGTGTTAACAAATCTCGATTAGTTACTGTGGAAGTAAGTGCCTGGGGGATTAGTATCAGTTGTCCATTAAATTCCACAGTAAATGCCCCTTCCTGCTTGCGTTTACAGTCTATTAAACGGGGTTAAATGCCTGCCGATCCCCGTACTCTTCGATCCTCTTGTGGTCATTCAACGGTTAGATTCCAATCTCCGAATCTAACTTTCGATATTATGTCAGCATTCCAACTCTACGAAAACGTTGCTGATTCTCAAACATTTTACTTATTTTCCTCCTCAAATGAAAACTTATGCGGCACATAAATAAATCTCTTAAGATATCGTTCTTGGAGTAAAAATTAACACAAAAACAAGGGAATAAACAATAACATTAAAAACAGTTGCTTCATTTCTAAACAGTTTTAATTCAATATTCAGCAAATGAGACTATTTTTTTTATCGTTGGGCATTTTAAAATTTAATATTAAGGTTTTTAATAATTTTAATTTTTTTTTATTAAGGTTTTTTTGTTGTATGATTGCAGTTAAGTACTTTTGTACGAAAGGGTTTGTTTGCAACCTGTTTATGTTCAAAATAAATAAATTATTACAAAACACGAAGATAACTTAACATATTTTTGATTTTTCGTTTTTAAAAACGTTAACGAGTTTAACCACTAATATTTCTAGTTCAATGTTGATTTCAGTCTTTTCCTCGTAAATTGAATTTCTAAGATCTTACGTAACATATAAATAAAACAATACGTAAAATACTAAAATAAACAATCATAAAGTCACAACATACATTAAAATCGCCAACAATAAAGTTGTTTTGAAATAGTGGATTTCTCTAAATTTTCAGTAATTTTATATACATATATATACATATACATATATTGTACCGTTAATGTTAAAGAGTCGTATTCTGAGATATTCGCGAAATTCGAAACACGAATATAAGATTAAGCACACCCACTGTTTGTAGCCAAGTGCATTTGTCAGCTTCTGAGAAAGCTAGGCACAGCTAAACGTGTTTCCTCACCGGCCTCTATTGTACACATATAGTCATGACCTAGCAATTAATAAACAAATACTCATATACCAAGTACCACAGTAAATCGTGAGGTATTAAAAAGTGTTGCAGATTAAATTAACACCAAAAAAAAGATTAAAATAATCAATTTTGATGTTATTTTTTACAATGAATGAAATTTTAGTTTATTAAATTTTTTATAACTATAAAACATGAAGATATCGATAACTCCGAGTTCGGAGTGATTCGACTCGGAGTCATCGATTTCTTCATATTTTATAATAATTTAAGATTACCAAGTAATAAAATCATTATTTTATATTATAAAAATATTATACTTCTTCAAAATTATTTTCATTATTTCAATTCAATTATTATTTTCAAAAATTTTTAACTACAATTTTACTTTATATCTATTATTTTTAATAATTTTCGAAAAAGTTCTTTGGCAATTTTCAAATCCATTTGTTTGCAATATTCAATTTCACGAAATTTAAATTATTCCTAAATTCTTCAATAAATTAGAAAATAAAAACTTCAAATAATTTAAAAGAAAATTCAATTAAACTTTTTCAAAAAAATTAATTTCAAAATTCAATTATTTCCAAAAATTCACGCTATATTGCTTTTAATATTCAATTATAATCTAAAATTTTAACTGAAATTCATTTTTATGAAATGAAAATCAATTTTTATTAGAAAATTCTACAAGAATTTAATTATTTAAATGCAAAAGTAAATAATTTATTGAATAATTGAATGTTTCTCAAAATTCAATTCTCATAAAGAATTTTAGTAACAAATTTTTAAATAATTGAATTCTTTTTGTCGAATTTTATTAGAACTTGCATGAACATAATTACTTTTTTTCAAGGAATTCAATTATAATTGTATGAAAAATAATTCAAACGCTGCGATGAGTTTTATCAGAATTTTCAAATCCATTCGTTTACAATTCAATTTTACAAAATTTTAATTATTCGGAAATCCTGCAATTAAATATATTATATTGAAAAATAAAAACTTGAAATAATTTCAATAAAAATCCTATTAAATTTTTAACAAGAATTAATTTTACAAAATTATTTGACAAAAATATGAAAAATGAAGAATTTCAATGATTTTAATTTGAAACATTTACAAAATTTAATTATTTCTAAAAATCCACGTAATAATGCTTGTAATATTTAATTGTAATCTAAAATTTTAACTGAAATTCATTTTTAAAACCATTTTTATTAATAAATTCTACGAGAATTCAATTATTTAAATACAAAAATAAATAATTTATTTATTTTATGTTTCTTGAAATTAAATTCTCATAAAAAATGTTATCAACAAATTTTTTAAATTATTAAATTCTTTGGACGAATTTGAATAAAATTTTTAAGAATAATTACATTTTTCTAGAAATTTGATTAAAATTGTATTAAAAATAATTGAAATTCTGGGATCAATTTTATTATTTATGAAAATAATGGAATTATTGCGAAGAAATTTATAAAAGATTTTGTAAATAATTAAACTTTAAATTTTTATTAGGTATGAAAATAATTAGATTTTTGCGTAGAATTTGATCAAAATTTTGTTTACATAATTGAATTCTTTTGTAAAAGTTTATTAATAAAGCATATATTCAAAAACATCTAAGTGAGGAAAATAATTTGAAAATAATTAAAATTTTGCCAAGAATTTTACTAGGTAAAATTTTTGAAAATAATTGAATGTTCGTGTAGAGTTTTATTTAATTTTTTTAACAATTGAAATTTTTTGAAAAATTTTATTAAAACAATAGATATTAAAAATCACTGAATTAGGAAAAATTTTTGGAAATATAATTGAAATTTTTCCATGAATTTTATTCATAAAATAAAATAAATTAATTTAATTTCGACGAAAAACTTTGCTATTTATAAAGATAATTGAAATCTTGAGAAGAATTTTTAAAATTCATTTTGAAAATAATTGAATTTTGGAGAAGAATTTTATTAAAATTTATGAAAATAATTGAATTTTTGGAATGAATTGGATATTAATTAAAAAAATGGAAATTAATTGAATTATTGCGAAAAAATTTATAAAAAAAAATTGTAAATAATTGAATTCCTGTGAAAAATTTTATTATTTATAAAAATAATTGAATGTTTGTGTAGAATTTTATTTAAATTTTTTTTTTAATAATGGAATTCTTTTGGAAAAATTTATTGAAATAGTAGATATTGAAAATCATTGAATTTTATAAAACTTTTGAAAATAATTGAAATTTAGACAAGAATTTGATTAAAATTTTGTAAAATAATTGAATATCAGAGAAGAATTTTATTATTTATAAAGAAAATTGAAATTTTGACGAGAATTTTTAAAATTTTTGGAACTCAATTGAATTTAGTAACTATGTTACTAAGTTAGTTGGTAAGTTAGTAACTAACGTACAAACTTACTATTCTCCCTGGAGAAGCTAAATTCGTTGAATTTTTCCAAATCGTTGACTTTGGTGTTTTATTTAAAGTAAAATTTTATTCATAGTTAAAAATAACACCAAAATAGATTATTTAAATCCTTTCTGGTGTTAATTTAATCCTAGAGGGATTAAACTGTTGCAGATTATTTTAATCCATTCTGGTGTTATTTTAACACCTCACGTTTTACTGTGTATGCAAAAGTCACCAAGTCCAAACACAAAATAATTAATCATTTATTATTTGTCCATTAAGAACTCTTGTTTTTAGTGATATTTTTGAAAAAAACAATTTTTTTTCCAAGTTGACTTTACGCTAAGAGTTCAAATAAATAAAAGAATATAAAAGATTATAAAAGAAAATATAAAAGAATATAAAAAAATGTAAAAGAATATAAAAGAAAATATAAAAAAATATAAAAGAATATAAAACAACATAAAGAAAATATAAAAGAATTTAAACGAAAATAAATAAAAAGAATAAATAAAGAATAAACAAAAAAATACAAGTATCGGAAAAAATTTCTCATTTATCGAGAGAGAAGAAAAAAAGCTTCTTAACCTTTATCATCCTTTTCCTGATTTGACATATTGTGTACGGTAATTATTTATATTCATTTGCTTCACTAATCCACGTGTAACAATGCAGATAAAGTGGTTTGCGCATTATGAATTTTTATCTTTCGTTATTTACAAATAAACTGTGGACTACGTGCGCGCTATTAAAACCCACCAGTGCACAACATTCAGATGCATGCCATATCTTAACTTCAAAGTATTTTTTCCACTATGAAAATAATAATACTAGAAAAATGTCAAAGGATAAGTGTAAAGTTGAAAGAAAAACAATACGTGCAATGATAAAACTATTGTTTCAC